TGCGTGTGTGTCCTTAACGTGTAATTTTGCATCAAGATACACACAATTTATATTCCGTCCCTTTCCTCTGTCTACTCAGGACGCTAAGATTCCGCTCACACCCTACCAGATCGATCAGCTGATCGATGATTTAGATCGGGATGGGGATGGAGAGATCGATTTTAGGTGAGTATCCCACACACATGGTATACATTCCATCTAATGTCCGAAGTTTATCGGCAAGCTTCATGCTGTGTGTGAGATCATAACTCATTTTAATAGTAGTTTCCCCTGACCAAAAAATTATGTGATTGGGGGGTAAAATTAGTAAAAAGCTTTTTTTTTTCCACAAGCCTTCATTTCAGTTCTCTCCCCTTATCTGTTTGAGCTCAAACTTTTCCGTCACTCTAATGAACTACTACACAGTAATATGACTCGAAAAGAAATAGGGTTGAAACAGTCTATAGCGGACTTCCATTGTAGAAGGGAAAGTAGCAAGGTGGCTGTCTTACACAATGTCATTACAATTAGTATGTGGAATGTGCGAGAGGGAGCAGTGTAGCTGGATTGCTGCTTTTTCTTTCCTCATCCTTACTATCGTCATTTTTCCTCTACTTCTTTTGTACGTTTGTCACTCTCTTGTGAACCGCTATGTCCAGGGTGCCTTGATAGTCGAAGCATACCTTGTGCTGTTGATGCTAGAAAGGTGAGCAGAGTAAGCCTGATTCCCCGTCTGGGCTTCTCTGTTGATATCCACCCCTTGGCGCTCATATGGCCTAATGCAGTTGCGAGCGCCGGAAAAAACCTTGTTAAAAACTTAACTTAGAGGTTGTCAAAAACCAAGGTAGCCTTATCGAAACACACACTAGAGGGAAAGAAGAGGGGAAGAACGTGTGAGTGCACCCTGCAACCGCCCAAAGAAGAGAGGAAGGGAGTCGCTGTTATAGTGCAAAACATTTAACATTCCCGCACTATAAAAATAAAAATGATATTGTATATGGAGGAGTCTGCATAATCAACCCGTGACACAAAAATTATTCCATTTTTATAAAGTGATCCATAATCATGATTAACGGAGGAAAATATTGTGGTCTTCTTGAAACGTTTTCCAGAAAACTGTGTGCTTGAAGTTAATTACAAACGAGGATGGAAAGCCAACAAAAATGTGTGAGTGCTTGATGGCATGATGCTACTGAAATATGTTTGGCTTTAATCGCTTCTTTGAGGACATATATTATGTTATGTATATCATAAATATATCGTCTCTTTTTGACGACATGTTATACAAGTCACGAGCTGCAGCAGAAGTACACCAGCATCACGCGCTATGGCGACGTCTGCGTCGCATTGGCTGTGCACTGTGTGTAATACGTCACCACCCACTTTCTGTGTGGCTTTGCTATGCTGTGACTGGAATCATTATTTAATTTATTCAAATTCTGGATAGATTGTTCAAAATCAAGAGTATAAAGGGAGTTTTTTTTTGTTTACCCCCCCCCCCCCCCCCCCAAAATAATTTTAAAAGTCTCTGCCAAATTGTTCCCTGTTCCACTCCCGTTCAACAATTTTTAGGGCCACCAATCTGGACCCTGACCCTCTTATCATCATCCAGAGAACAGAATTACATATTGTACTTGTCAACCTCACACATTCCTGACCTATTTATTAAATATTTTGTTTTCCAAAACAACTTCTCTTTTCACTAAACCGTCTTTGAATGCGACTGATTTTAATCCAGCTCATTAACAGGAGCGTGTCCCTATTTATTTGTTAAATTTTCATCAACAAAGGTTGCTTTTTTAGGGGGGGGGGGTGTGCCTGGTTTTGTTTTGGTTTTTCTTCTTTTTTAAAATGATATTTTACAAAGTTGAAACTGTTAGTACAGTCAAAGATATTAACTAGCTCACGGCATCACTCGTTTTTTTTACAGTAGATATCTACAGTCAGTACAAAAGTCTACCGAACCTCAGTAGTTCAGATTGTCTATAATAAAACTTAAGGTGTTATTGTACAAGAGAGTAACATTAGAAGTAGGAAGGAGGAAGAGATAAAGACGATAGATTTTTGACAAGAAAGAGGGAACAAAGCACACTAGAGCACCCACCAACCACCCACTATTCCTACAAGTCTGGAAACGATATGCGTTATATTTTAACATGATATTTTGTTGGTAACAATGTCTTCCATATTAAGTACGCAGACAATCTATTCACTTCACGCCATCAGCAACTCAGGAAAACAGTTATTCAAAGTTAATCCAGACACAGATCTGTTACATTCCTTCACTCAGTCTGTTTTATATATTTTATATCAGTAGGTTTTAAGTGTCCATGGGGTTATTAAACATCCATTTTATATTTTAAAAGATAATTTGAAAATGAGCCTTTAATTTTAAATAAATCTTCTCTGTAAGAAAAAAATAGTCGACGTTTTCTGCTTTTCTGGTGCAACGATGTTCCCAAATAATATTTATTACCATTAGTTTGTACTAACCTCACTTATCACAGCTTGAACCTATGACCCCCGATGATCTTCCCCAATAACCCCATATAGTGATGACTGATGGATGACACGTCAGCAAAACCTAACATAAAATGAAAATACATGTATTTCTTTATAAAACTTTGGAAAGTGTCCGTGTTTCCATTACAGGCCAGAACACCCCCCCCCCCCCCCCAAAAAAAAACCGTTACGGATAGAATATTCCATGAGGGGATACCCGCTACTTACTTAGTCTTGAACTTGAACCCTTGTTGCACCTTTTGTTTAAAAGGAAAAAAAAAAAGAGAGAAATCCGATTTGGAATCGGCCAGTTAAAAATAAGTACATTGTGTGTACCTACGGTAAGGTAAAATTCCCGAATGCCCGTTGCTGATGTTAACACAAGTTCTTTTTAAGTTTAAGTCTATACGAAACCACACCTCCGATACAATACATGTTTTTTCGTCAGTGGGGGCACCTTACTGAATCGCCATGATTTCACCTCCAGGTTCGTTTAAAATTGACAGGCTCTTGTTCAAATCGAATAAGGTTCCTGGACGCTTCTCAAATTGGCCCACTCTTTCAAAACTTTGCAAGCTGAAACTTAACAAGAAAGTATAACATCATGGCTGTGGTGAAACCCTATCCTATATATATCTCGACGACTATGCTAATGTAAGGCAGAGGTATGCTCGTCTGATGCTCGTACGTTTTTGTATGAGTTTTACGTCACTTGCACACTGTTTAATATAAAGGAGGGCATCAGACGAGCATACCTTTGCCTCACAATCGTATAGTCAGCGAGAGATGATGTTTCACAAGGGTCATGCAAATCATAAGTTTTAGCATAAAGATTTTTTGGCTACCTGCAACTAATTAACTGTGGCTGTAACGCATCCCATAGTTTACACTCCCGCCCTTCTTTTTTCTTCATCTTTCACAGTGAGTTGGTCATAACGACAGAAGAGAAGACTGCCTGAACCTTGTACACGGATGGAGAATATTCCGGAACTGACGTCATTGTACAAAAGCAGCCGTTGGGAACAGAGGAAGGCGTTCTATAGATCTACTCTATACTCCTATGTTTTTTCCCACGAGGAGCATGACGGGATGAGAGCAGATCTGTCAGTATCAGATGGACGTTAATTAACCCTATCCGAACGTCATGTTTTACTTAACTATCGTATCCATACAACGTGGGGAACTCTTTGCCACCATTTAACCCTATCCGTACGTCGTGTTTTACTATTGTATCCATACGACGTGGGGAACTCTGAGCCACCACTTTCCAAAGAAGAAATTTACTCGTTAATCCGATCCGTACGCTTTGCAGCAGTCTGTCAAGCAGAAATACTGAAAGTTTCAAAGAGATCTTCGTATTAGAAGTATTCTAAAATGTGAAGAATACAACCAAAAGGGTACCAAATGACCCCAGGGCGCAGGGGCGAAGGCTGACTTGTTTGACAGGGTAATCAAAGTGAAACGGGATCAGATATGGCCTGTAGATATGACACAAGAATCTTACTCAAGGCGGCGACTCTGAGTTGTGAATGAAAACAAATCCGGATTTCATATTGTATGTTCAACCGCCAAAATAATCGGGAAAGTATCTTATTAAAATCAGTTCCAACTAAAATTAAATTTAACTTTAGATGTGAATACATAAACACAAAGCAAAGAAGCAGAGATGTCAGTACTAGATCTATATGTTATAGATCTACCAGTGAGTCTAACTCTTTGGTAGAACATGACAATTATCATTTTTTTAATTTCACATTTGGCTGTTTTTGTTAGCCTTTCGCGGCCAGGAGCTGGTGTCATAATAGAGGTCACGATCTGATTATAGGACGGTTAAAAAGTCGACGGAAAAAAGCAAGCACGTGCAACAGTGAAGAGATTGTTAGGAGTTAGTTCCCCTCACATTTGTGAGGTACACTCGACCAGTGTTAGTTAGCTCATAATCAGGGCTTGTGATTGATTATAACTGTGACCCCAAAGGGGTGAACAGGGTATATGTGGGAATGAAACAGCTTAGACTGCTATGCACATGTTCCCTTCAACTCTATTGGTAGACTCTTCCAGCCTCACTTTAAGCTTACCTAATCAAAGCTTGCGACTGCTTATGGAGTGGCCCGAGAGGGGTGAGGAGGCTATTTCTGTGGCCGTGAAACCGTTTTGAATGTTAGGCATACTGTTCATTGTTGATTACGAACGTCTTTTGACATTTAATTTAAGAGGTTTACGTTTATGGATGAATTTGACAGCGACAATGTTTCAAAATTAGGAAGGAAAGCAGTGATTATTTGATTATATAGACGCTTCGCCCCTGCCAGGGCGTACGGATAGGGTTAAGGAAAGATGGCAGATGATAGACTGCAAAACGTTTTATTCACATCCCCTCAAAAGCATAGTGTGGTACCGTAGCACTAAATTGGCCTACTTCTTTTAACCGCCCAGTGTTGCTACTATTACCATTGTCTATGGATCGACGAAATAAGTTAGCAGATTCAATAATGATGATACTTGGTCGCTTTTAAGAACAAGTGGGCTAACGCAGATTTCGGGGGTTTCCAGAAATCTTTACCAACACCAAAAGTGGGCATTGCCCTACATGTACCTATAGGAGAAGTTTGGTTACATTGGTTTGGTTATAGAGAAAACTCTCCTCGTCTTTTAAGAGAACTGAACAAGGGGCAAAAACTTTACCTTCGACTTTCTCAAAACATCGTTTTTCGGGATAGCCCCCTTGTACTTAAAAGCGACCAATTACATATGTATGAATGTATGGGCAACTCCTGCTTTAATTAACAGCAATCGTAACTGCATAATTTTGTTACCATCACCCGACAAGTTGCTTTCTTCTTAGTCGCGGGAGATGCAACCCCGTGCTGTTGGGGGAGAAGCACACACGCACGTCTAGGTTCAGCTCCGGTGAGGCTGTTGTGATATTATTATATTATTATAATACAATGTCAATGTGTATTTACTCTGGTGTGTCATCTCTTTGCATCTTTCTTCCTTCTTTCCTTCACCCATTGGGCCAAGAGCTCTGCCTTTGACGTGACCTCATTATCTGTCCCCGCAGTTTTATGCCCAAAAAATTCTTAAATTAAGCAAACTGAGCCCTACTAAATGTGAAATTATGCGATTCTGTTAATTTTAACCAAGAATGATAAAGGAAAATAGTCAGAAACTATGCAAAAAATGATCAAATTTTGCTAAATTATGCGGGGTGCACAAAACCACGGGACAGCATTATACTTCGAAGGGCTTTGTTTTTGCGAGTTTTACGGCACATGTAACTCTAATAGGTCACGTGTAAGTGCCGAATTTTAAAGGGGTTACTAGAAAGTAACATACTCAGTACTCAGAGCAATGGAGGAGAGATATGGACGATATGTGTTTGAATGGATAGAGGAGCAAACACACCAGAGCACCGGCCAACCACTCACCTAGAAGAGCGGTTAACCCAGTTAACCCTAACACACAGAAAGCCTTCCTTGGGGAAACACTGCGTGATTTGCGAATTCAAATATGGGGGGAGGGAAGGGGGCATTTCCACTTGTAAATAATATGTGAATAAAAGTTTTCGAGTTGTTTTGTATTTTTGAGAGAATGTATGTATATAACATGATGTATGGTGGCCGTGCATGTACTTTTCGATGATGATGTACATCATGTAGATCTATTATGTACGAGCCGTTTTTTTAAATAATTAAAATGAAAGGATGATTGATGATGTTCCAGAGTTCTTTGTCTTATGATCCTTTCTTTTGTACGGCTTTTTGCCTGTATGTCTACATGTGCGTGTAACTCTTATTAGGGAGAAAAGAAGATGCAAACGTTGACGTTGTTTAAGACCAAACTTTCACTACCATAATTATGTTCATACGAATTATATTGGCCGCTGTCGCTATTAACAACGACATGCACTTAGGCTCGCCATTTCGCTGACAAGGTAGAAAGATGGAAAGAAGGAGTGTCGTTTTCTTTGCACAACTCATAAAAGGGTTTTTAGGTCCTTTTCTGTTAAAAGAGTGTTTTCTTAGATGCAGGACCCCACGTCCGTCTCCCACAAAATCGAGCTATGTGGATAAAATAAAGAACCATGGAAACCACTGAAACAACTCAATTTCTCGAATGTATAGTTGGGATTTAAACCTGGGTCTTCCGATACATTGACCACCACGATACCAACTGAGCCATCTGCGCATCCTTGCCCTACATTATTTGTGTCACCATCTTAATCTTAGGAAGAAGTGACCAATGAACAATTACTTGTATGGACAAATATAACCAGCTTACCTCTCTCTTCAATACTAAATAAACATGAAGGAGATCATTAATTGTAAAAGTCTCAAAAAGGAAAGTCCAAAACAAACCAATCTTGTTATTTCAAACATTGCTCACGTTAAAAAAAAGAGGGGGGTGGGGGATAACAAATATCAGCTTATTAATTTTTGTCCCGACAGTAGTCAAAAACCAAAACTCGAAACTATGACTTTTTAAAAGTTTTAGTAAGAGTTTTACTGCACTTGCAACACAATAAGTGCTGGAAATTAGAGGTGTTACAAGAGAGTAACAAATACAAAAAAGGAGGGGAGATAGAGACGATAGATTTTTTAATAGGAAAGAAGAAGCAAACCACACTAGAGCACCCAGCAAACACCCACACTGTGACTTTTGCAACAACTGTGAGGTCCAGCACCACAGATGGGTTCGACATTAAGTAGTAGAGTTACTAGTACTGGTACCAGTCATTGACAGCTGAAACTCATTAGTCATAAAAGGAAACTGTTCTGTCTTTGCTTGTTTTAATAAGAATTTTACGGCGCTCTCAACTGCATAAGGTCATATGACTATGAGCGAACGAAACACAAGTCGGTCTCATTCACAACAGTTCACAGCACGGCTTGGCACAAGTCAACGACCAGTTCTGTCTTTTTCATGTCTGAACCTAGGGATTCTTTCAGTCAGCAAATTTTGCTTTTAGACAACAGCACCAACAAGGTGAGTAATAAAAAGTACGACATTGTCACAGCAACGGGCATTCAGTGCTCACATACACTAAAAAAGATGAGATGATGAAAACAGCACCAAATTGTTCAGCAAGTTCGTGAACAGGGCATCCCTCTATGCAACAACATCTCCTCACACATAAAAACAAAATATGACAAAACGAGCAAGTTGTCAAATATCTTCCAACAAGAAATAACAAACAGCATAAGGAAAAAGTAACATTTTATTTAGGTTACTAGAAATCAACAGTTATTCTAACGTACTGTACTTTTATCCTTATCTCACAGGGATAGATTTATTTTGTAAATCAAAGCTACAAAATATCCAGGAGAGCTGCGGGCTACACTGTCACAACACGACCTTCTCTGGCCACAGTTCACACATCGCTGAAACAACTGCCACCAGCTATGTTACAAACACATGTCTATCTATGGCACTGATTGCAAAGTTGCCAAACCTGAAGTTCTCACATATAGCCTATATATATAATTATAACTATTTTGAAGTCTAATCATAACATTCAAGACCAGGTTGGTTTGATATGAATAAAGAAAAGATCATGGACACAATAATCAGAATAAAGGTCATTTAGTGCAGAGAAGGAGTAAGGCAGACAGATAGAAAGCAATAACAGAGGGAAAGAAAGCAAAGGACATACCAGTGGTGCTCTCTTAACTCTCTAGCAAGCTGCATTTCTCTACTATCAAGTGTAAAATATATAGAGATTTACAATGTGTATTTACCCATGGAGTCAGAAGAGTGAACAAATAGCACTCAAACTCCATTATACAATAGAAGTTTTAAAAAAAATAGAATCAGACCCCAGACTGTGACAGCTTCAATGTGGAGTAACTTGTGATTACATGGGTTTAACATCTTTTTCAACACTGTAGAGCATCTACAATTCTCAAAAAGAAGGCACACAGGGCAGTGGAAGGCTTTACTGGACGAGTATAAAAACAACACACTGAGGTCATAGGTCACCAACAACACTGACATAACACGTCAGACAGAGGCTGCTGTATACAGTAAGTACAAGTCATCAACACCCCTTCAGTTGTCTTCTACTTCGAACTGAGGGGTAAAAGTAAATTATTACATGATAATGAAGTGAGTGAACATTCACATGATGTTTGGACTAGCTAGGTTCAACTTGTTTCACATACGGGGGGTGGGATTTGGTTGTGGGTTGTGGGGTGTGTGTGTGTGTGTGTGTGTGTGGCGGGGGGGGGGGGGGGGGGGGGGTATGTTGGCTTAGCTGAGAGCTCTACACAAACTGGATGATCATCTCCCTCAAATCACTGTCTCAGCATTTTCTGGTCATACATCATTCCGTGTACGTAGCAATCACATATCAGACATTATTATCAGAGGTGCCAAGCGGCTACGAAAAAAAAATCCTGAACTTTTTGGACTCCATGGAAACACCCACGCGGGGACTCAAAATGAACGGTCAATATTATTGTCCTTTTATACACATCTTGTATCAAGACAATTTTTATAAATAAAGCAATATCTGGATAATTCCAGAAATCAGGATTTCAGGAGTTGTCCGGAAAATAGGCACCTTTGACATTATATTATAAGGAAACTTTTCTAATTTTTCTTACCCACCTCTGTTCTCTAGTTTTGATTGAGCATTCCAAAGAAAAATCAAAACAAAGTCTACAAGACACTGATGACAAAATTGCATCCACAACTGCATCGATCTTTACAGTGCAACAGAAACCAGTAATAATGATATGGATGAATGATGAGAGAAAAAACTTGTAAGATGTATTGGTGTCAGTGAGGAAGAAAAAAAAATGAACGACAAAAACTATAGGATAAGAGAAAGTAATTTAAAAATTATTTAAAAAAAAAAAAACAACACAGAAAGACAGTGAAAAAATAAATTAATGTAATCATATCACCAACAATTGCGACCAATTGTGACCGAAGAAAGAGCAACAGGAGAGACAGAGGGAGAGAGAGAGAGAGAAAGGGACGGGTTGCGTGTGCAATGGAGAGAAAAAGAAAGAGACAGAGAAACATATATATGTATACATTCTCAAACAAATACTTTCAGTCACATTTTTTCAATATACAAATGTGGGCATAACATTTCTATTTTAACCACAACTATTATTACTATCAAATCAGCTAGCCATCTATCATCTCACAAACAGCGCGTACACAGACAAACTGTTCTCTTCATGCATTGTCACACTACAAGGACTTATATAAAATTAAATTACATTTGTACAGCCATAAAGATCTTTCCCCAATTATTCAAACTTTTCTTCGTGTATTATTTCATTTTGTTCGATTTAAAGAAACAGTGGTACTCATGGACAACAAAAGAACATAAGTTTCTAAGACAGCTCACACAACTTATCCACTGTTGCTTCGGAGCATGCCATCACCTAGGCAGAGATGCATACATCTGTATCATCCACATACATTTATATAGTTTTCTCATTTAAAAGAGAAAGAGACAAACAAAAAGCAACTTCAATTCAGGATTATAGAATCTTGACTATTTGACCTCTCGATCGAGCCTCTCATCTGTTCTATCACATATAGATCATACATAAACAGCTTTAGTTTAGTTTTACGGCACTTGCAACACAATAAGGTCATATAAGTGCCGAAGATTAGAGGTGTTACAAGAGAGTAACAAACACAAAAAAAGAAGGAGGAGAGATAAGGACAATAGATGTTTGATAGGAAAGAAGGAGAAAACCACATCAGAGCACCCGCCAACCACCCACACATAAACAGCAAGATATCATCAATTATTCACAAGAAATAAAAAGGGGGAAAAAAAAAATAATAATATAACACAAGAGAGCTACCAATAGAACGAATTTGTCAAGAAATTGGCGGCCACAGAGAACCAACCCGCTGCCCTTTTTTCGTCTTCCTTCGTGGGCTTCTTCACGGCTTTTTCCTCCACAAAGGTCGTGTCCGAGTCGTCCGACAAGTAATCCGGCATGTCGGCATTCTCTTTCTCTTGGGAGGGCGGGGCCATAGCCATGGGGTCACAGGTGTTGAAATTCACGTAGGACTGTGGGGAAAAGAAAGTCACAAAAGATAATGCAACAGGTAAAATATATCACATATATGACTGTGAGAAATAAACAGCAAAAAAAACAACAAAAAATTAAAAAATTGAACTTCCTTTAACCCCCAGTAGTTTCTACATTAGGATTTTGTAAATATGATAGAAATTACAAATAAAGACTGAGCAAGGTATCTTTATAAAATAAAAAAATACGACTAAATCGACTTCGATCAGGGATGCCACTCAATAACTTAAAAAAAAAATAACTGAAAATCCAAGCGCCACGGTCTCGCTAACAAATGAATATCAATTTGAAACCCAGTTTAGCGTAAGTCTTCCGAGGTTTTTTTCTCCCAGTTATTTGAACTTATGGCGAAGTCTTCGTTTTTCCGTTATTTGAACATTTGCCGCAAGTTGTTGTGTGTGTGTGGGTCTTTTTTTTTTGGGGGGGGGGGGGGGGTTCAACTATAGATTCTATCTCGATCTCAATAACGGAACAGCGGATCAGGTTCAAAATACCGGAAAAAAGCGGAAAAGTGGCATCCCTGTAAGAAACAGAATTAAAATTAGTACACTCAAACCTGCTCTAACAGCCACCTGTATAAGACAATCACCTGATCAAACGACCACTTCCCATTTCCTCCCTGGCATATTTTCGCTTTATAATGACACTGTGTAAGACGACCATCTGTCTCTTACGGCCAATTTTCTCCTCGGCAATGGGTGGCCGCCTTAGACAGTTCCGGCTATATTAAAATTGATGGTTTCACTACAAAATTCTTGCTCTGAAATTATGCTACTTGACAGTGTATGATTTATGAATAAATTGAACATTACTACCATCTCCACAACAATAGTAATACTATTTCTGTCACAAAAACGCAGGTTGAAAGGGTATGTAATATAGAGAGGAAGTCTTTAATCAATCTGTGAGCAGTGGGGCGAAAAAAAGCCAGAAAACTATATAAACAATGATGATCACAACTAGGAAAACTAAATGCTTTGGTCAGCGAGCTCGAGACATTTCAAAAGCCCTTGATTCAGAGTTAAACAGAGGTATGCCATAACATACTCTTTTTTTTATTACTTTTAGTAAGAGTTTTACGGCACTTGCAACACAATAAGGCCATATAAAATGCCGAAGATTAGAGCTGTTACAAGAGAGTATCAAACACAAAAGAGAAGGAGGGGAGATAGAGACGATAGATTTTTTTATAGGAAAGAAGGAGCAAACCGCACCAGAGCACCAGCCAACCACCCACATATCATACACAAATTTCAACTCCAGGTGCCATTTTATCATACAACCAAAAAATCCCCTCGCCTGACTATGAACAATCAAACTGACACAAAGACGTTCCGTACCTCATCACCATTCTCCTTCTTGACCACCTGCAGAGCTGTCATAGTCATTGATCTTGCCACAGAGGCTGCCAGAGTCTGAGCAAAGAAGGACAAAAGAGAGAGAGTAAGAGAAGAAAACGTTAGTCATACCCACAACACCATATATGCCATATTGTCTGTGAAATTTTCCAGTCATCTAATTTTCCCCTACTTTAATAGACTAACTCAACAAAAGAAAATGATGGTACTAATATCCACAAGTTATTTCGCTGTACGCTGCTCCCCTCTCCAAACTGTTTATCTTAAATCTCTCACTTGAACTATAAAAATATTTGAATCTGAGCTGCAGGAGTGATGTTAATTCTCTCATGTGAATTGTCATTTCAAGAGATTTCACAAGTCCAGTCTAATTAAAAATCATGACCTCCCTCTTGCACTGGATGTTATCTTCAATACATGTGATATATAAAGGGTAAGAACTGTTTCAAAATATCCCAGTGACCTGCACATTACTCTGTTTTTAGAGCTTTTACAAACAGGAATCTGTCACGCAAGACAGATGGAAGTGGAGGTCCATGATCGCCACGCCAGTTGGCAAGGCACCGAATGATAATGACCTGTCACTATGAATTTAAAGCAGCATATTCCAAGTGCCTCCAAGTCAGTGAAATCATCATAAAACATTCTCTAAAACCTTTGACGGGTGCTATCCCATGACCATCTTACCTCAGGTTTGACGTCGAGCTTTGTCCTCAGAATACATCTCTTCCTGGTCAAGTCAAACGTGATGCTGATCACACCCCGCACCTTCAACAGCAACCTGGCACACAAGTCTCTGTCACTCTGAAACGGAAACAACAAACATGTTTGTTTACATTTTCTTAATTAAAGAACAAAAAAAAAGCAAAAACAACTCCAGCCAAAGCACAATGTATTTTGTTTTCTGTAAGTTTGAAACAACAAATTGGCTTACCCCTAAACAAGAGGAAAAGATGTCTAAGACAGCTTCTTCAAACCTTTCTAGAACATTACACTCCTTAGAATATAACTTTTTTGGTAGATGAAAATACAGAGTTTCATGAAAAATTCAGATATAAATTTTATATAACTAATAATAATATTGCCAGGGAACCAGCTGAACTGGACAGATTTTGTCTTCATCTTTGTATCAACACAATCCTTTTTCCAATATCTTGAAAAATTTACAACCTACTGAGGTGGATAGGGGTAAACTTAGCATGTGTGCCAACACTATGATGAACCACTTTGAAGACGACGACAACAACAACAACAACCCCCCCCCCCTCTATTTCCAGCAAACTCTAGAGAAAATCTCTAGCCCATGTAGGTCTAACAAGAACAGCAGTCTCCCATGAATAATAAGCATGACTCAAACTGAAGTGAAGTCTAAGACAGATGAATTTACATTTGAACAAAATATGTTCACAAATATTCATGCTAACAAGCAATATTTGTCACGGATGCTTTTGAGGCTTACCTTGTCATGAAGGCCTCGCAGCTGCAAAACAATCGACTTTGCTTTCGCTGGTCCTGACAAACTTGTATTTCTTGAACTTGTGCTTCTCCTTCACACATGAAGAAAATATAATAAAAATTACTTTTTACTGTAGTGGATAGCTACTTTATACCCACACTTTTTGTTTTAGTAGAGGGTTTTACGGCATTCGCAACGGCATAAGGTCATAAGAGCGCTAAGGGGTGGGTGTCAACAGAGAAGTCTTTACAGGGAATCAGACTTACTCTGCTCACCTCTCTAGCTTCAACAGTACAATGTCTGCTTGACTATCAAGGCACCCCGGAAATAGCAGGTCACAAGAGTGTGACAAAAACTCAAAGGAAGTAGAGGAAAATGACAATAGTAAGGACTAGGAAAGAAAAAGCAGCAGTTCCCTGTTGTAGATCAGCCCATTTACAATTCTACTGTCTATGAACGAGAAATGTCCCCCCTTTGGGAATGGCCTAAAGACACTACAGTCAGTGGCACTGCCCCAGGGGGGGGGGCACACTTTTAACACACTATAAGATGCATAAGTGCAAATGAGCACAAAGCTCTTTCAGTGTTACTTTTAGTAAGAGTTTTATGGCACTTACAAAACAAATAGGTCATATAGGTGCCGAAGATTAGAGGTGTTACAGCCAGAGAGTAACAAACAAAGGAAAGAAGGATAATAGATTTAGGGCGATAAATGTTTGATAGGAAAGCAAGAGCAAACCCCACCAGAGTACCCACCAACCACCCACAAAGCTCTTTCGGAATAACCAAAGTGCTTCCTGCAGAAACTACACAAACAAACACATTTTAAAATAAAATAGTGGCATCATTATGTTCAGTCTTTGTTCAAGAATTTTGTCAACTCTGTCAAGATCTCAAGCCCAGATAGCTGGATAGTGTATTTCTAAATTTACACACCACGCATGCATTGCTTCATAAGTTGTTGATTGTTCACATTGTATCCAAAATACTATGACGATAGTGAATAGTGCGCACTGAGAACAAATAAACAAAGAGAATGCCCAACATGTGATGACTGACCTCAACAGATAATTGTTCGTTTACGTAAAAAGAAGTACATCAACACAAAACAGTAACTTAGTGCACGGGAGAGTGACAGAAACAACAGTGGGGACATTTTTTTGTTTTGGTAAATGTTTAACAGCGCTTGCAACTGCACAAGGTTACATGAGCGCACAGAGGGAAAAGAAAAAAAAGTAGGACCCACCAATGGCGTCCTCCAAGCCTGACCAGAAAAATGTCATAACAAAAAAGTACAAAGCACCAAACAAACCATAGGCTTTTCTCTATCAATAACAAGCTTAGTGGCCTTTTCCTTTACCGCGACGTATTGCTGGAGTCTCTGAGCGGAGCTTGTGTTGTTTCACTGGGCACACACAGCCTTTTGTATAAAGTCTCTGCTAGGCGCTTGATGACAAGATTCTTGCTGTCACTGAAAATAGAGACAAAATTACCATCGAAAACGTCTGTCTGTCAAGTATGATTTTACCTTCCATGACAATAAAACGGCAACATATATATTCAAAGATTGACTACACTGTGACTGTGAGATAAAGATTCTACAGTCAGTTACTCCCTCAGCTCTGGCATAGGTACATAAAGGAAGAACAAGAGACAGAATAAACAAGGAGTCAGAAAATGTGTAAAAAGAGATTAGATAAATAGATCATCTGAGTTGTAGACCTCTGCTCAACATGAAAATACATAATTTATTTAAAAATTTTTTTAAATCATGACAGACCAACATTGAACTAATAACGCTGAATAAAATTTGTTGCTTTTATTTAAGAACTAACTGGGTACCCGTTTCATGAAAGGACTCAAAAGAATCGATCAGTCATTGTGGAATCAGTGCACACTGCTTGTGAACACAAGCCTCACTTGTTCACAATGACGTCTTAGAAGACGGGCTTTCCCAAATTTAGATCTAAACGAAACTAATGAAAACCTGAAAATTAAACTACAGTGACTTCAGACTCCTTAATATAACTGTGCACCCTTTACATGATTTTGAACCACCGCTAATTTTTTCAAATTCGAAAGTTAAGTAGAAGTGACGAACTTTCACAAATAAAATATATATAGACGCCATTAATGAAACAATAGAGAGGAGGGCAACAGAAGCGGATGATTTTCGAACACTGGCAAAATCCAACCAATTTGCCAAATTCATTTGTCTGATAAAACATCATAAAAAACTGTTAATATATATTCAAATTCAAGTCATTAAGCTACAGGATAGGTATATATTCCTATTTAGACATTACATAAAAAGAATAAACTATTGGTGTCAGACATAGTGTTAAAGTGGCGTTTTCAGTGCATGTCCATTTGAAATGCTTGTGCTAAAGACTGGCAATTTAATAATAATAATAGATTGCATTTATATAGCGCTCTATCCAATACTAGTATAAGCTCTGAGCGCCATACTACCTTCGAACTCTCAAAATAGACGTACCTGTTTGACATGAGAGCGTCCAACTGATCCATCATTCCCATGTGCTTCCTCAGGATCGCTGGGGCTTCTGGACACTCACACAAGAGATTTAGAGTCTGAAAGTATATTCACAGATTTTAGTTTCAAAGTTTTACGGCATTTGCAACACAAATAGTCGAAATAGGTCATAAAAATGCCAAAGCTTAGAAGCGTTACTAGAGAGTAATATACAAAAGAGATAAACACTTGACCTTGAGTTGAAAAGGGGAAAAAAGCAAGGGCATGGGGAACACAACAATGGAGAATAATTTATACCCTTCATAGGACAATGAATATCTTTACGTAAACTTTTACCACACATTGGATTTGCAAAATAGAAGTGTGTGATAAGACTTAAGCCACAATAAATGCATTGACGTTGAAGAAAATATTTTTTCTAAAATTTATTTTAAAAAAGGATCATAGACTTTTTAAACCATGGGCCTGTCACTCCTACATTTGTCGGCTCTAAACAACAGAACAAAAGTATCCGGTATGCTACAAGGATATCCCTGGTGAGAGATTTATAAGCAGACACGAAGGGAAAAAACCCTTCTGTTAAGCCCTATAAGTGGCAGTCAGAGGTACCAGTAACAGGGGGACTTTGGAAAAGTTTGAGTGTAATTTGAGCACATCGACACAACAATATGATAATTTTGCATTTGGGAAAGAACAGGACTGGTAATACAGTATACAGCGAAAGTCAAAGAAAGAAAGCACATCAGTAAGATCTATCAGTGACGCTCTCCAACCACCTGCATAGATTAGATTATAGGAGGGTAGCAACTCATACTCTTTGACACATAAATCATGAACAACTAATGGAAGCAAAGAAATGGCAGCTGTGCAGGGCCAGACCTCGTCTCAACATTAAAGAGTTTACCTCTAAAGAAGCTTGCACTGTTGCAGGTTCAGGATTTGACAAGACAATAACTAGTCCACCTACACATGTTGGATCCTGGGGAGAGAAAAATGTCTTAGTTCGGACACAAAAATTACTCTGCCACCTGAAAAAGACATCGTAAAATGTTTCTAAAAAGCATATAAATCATAATTAATAATTGTATTAAATTAATTTGATGGTACAAGCATTTTCAGGGAATGAAAATAAAAAATTACTGAGAAGCAAAATATTATCAAAATCATAATCACAAGGAAGCACCAAAGTCTTATAAATTATGATTATTCGCCATGGCAAAATATTCACAGCCAGAGCTTTTCTGAAGAGTACACCGAGCTTTGAGCTGTGATTTTACAGGTGTGTAAGGCTTTCTATTCTCATTTGCTCGTATAAATGACATTTGTTGAAGGTTCTTTTGCCCTCCTACATACTGAGAAGGAGTGAACTAATGATGAATTCCCCAGTTCCCAGATCAGAGGACACTGTGCTTCATGGAATTAAAATATTTCACGTTTACTCCCTGTTTGCACCAAGTGCGTTACAGTAGACTTCAGTAGTCTGCCTCCTTCAGCTTCCTATCTGATTGCCATCAGTGTACTGAAAGAAAACTCACTTACATTGTGACGATTATGAGAAAAAAAAACAAGAAACACAATCACAATAACTTGGCAAAACTTATATTTCAGGCCAAAAAAAACCCCAAAAACCAGTAAACAGCAACTACAAGCTACCAGAAAGAAAGGGGTATGATCTACTAAGTACTTTCAAATCACCCCTGACAATACTTTCATCTAGTTTTGACTTGAACATCATGTAGTACGAGTTAAAAATACCAGTTAGCACACACCTTGACAAGTGCAGCTCTTTTCTTTGAATCTGCTGCCATCACCTTCATTGCAGCGATTGCCTCCGTTGAAACCATCTTTATAGATGAATAATTATAGACTGAGGAGAGAAAAGAGAGACAGAGATGACAAAGAATAAAAAGTGCTTGCTCAAATCACACAATATGTGTCACATGTTGGAACCAAGTGCTCGTCAATTTTTGAGCATATATATGGGGTTTTTGGTATCATCTTAAAACCGGTTTAATTGCCTTGCTCATAGTGAAAAAAAATATCCATTTTTATTTTTTCTCTCGAAAAGAAGTCAAAATATTTGCGATTGAAGGAGGTGAGGGTCGCCTGGTTTCAGAGCAAAAATTAATTGAGAAAATGGCCGCAAAAGTTTGGTAATTTCCATAGCTTGAGTCCTTAAAAACTAAAAATTTACATTTTTTGTGCCTTTACTTTAATCAATGTTTTTCTGTAAAATCCACGCAGAAATGTTTTTAAAAGGTCTTAGCAAAAAAAAAAAAAATTAGAACAAAATTGCCCAACAACCAGAAAAACACCAATTTCTTTGATTTCATTCTTTTGACAAGCGCCTGATTTCACCTCGATGCCCCACATTATGCTTGAACAAATGGTCACACAAACCACTGCTAAATTAAACTGTACAGCATAAAAAATGAATAAAATAAGAACAACAAATGGTCATATGAACCACTGCTAAATTAAACTGTGTATCCCATTTTGTTGAAAGCGTGCAATTTTGTCTGCGGGTAGTGAGAGAGAGGGGGGTGGGGGAGAAAGAGATCAAGGAGAGAGAGAGAGATCAGAAGGAGTAGCGAGAACTTCTGAGCAAAACAAAAGGGCGACCGGCGTAGTTCAGCTCGATTCGAAAAGTGAAATAGCCATATAGCATCTTTGTAGACGAACAAATTAGTTGTTTTGTTTTTTTTAGGCCGTTGTTATTCGGACTCGAGTCCAAATAACATTTTTTCATATTCGGACTGGAGTCCGAATAAAAAAATTTCTTATTCGGACTCGAGTCTGAATATGAAAAAAATGTTATTCGGACTCGGGTCCGGAAAAAAGGAAGTGTCTTCGTTCTATAGATCTAACGTTCAGTGCTTCCAATTTTCCGCCATTTTTTAGTTTCCCCCACACCTTTTCTGCCGATCCGATGCCCGCCGCCTCATTGATACGCCCCACCCCCACCCCACCCCCATGTTTCCCACTTTCTTTGTTGTAGAAAAAGGTAAAATTGAAGATTAGCAGACCACCTGGCACCTGCATATTATGAGGGCCGGCACTATTTCTCCGAATGTTCGGGAAAATAAAGCTGGGCACTATTTCTCCGAACACTCTGAAATCACACCCTTTCCCGCATATTTCGGATAATAAAAATAAAATATAGATCTATAATTATATTATAGGCCTACCAAAGATTGTTCGTATACAATATGGTTCAATCGGTCCAAAAAATGTCCGTATTTATATAAAGAAATGCTACAGTTCCAAACAGTTTTTCGCTACAGATATGACGTGTGGCCTATGAAGGGTGCTGCTCTTAAACTTAATGTGTTGCGTTCACTCGTGAGCTGTCTAGATCTAGATCTATGGAGGGTTATTGATAACGACACATAGAGCTAGCATCTGCGTTTGTCGAGGCCGCGACCAATCAATCGTGGCTCGATTTTTTGGTCCCCGAAAAAGTCCCAAAAAAAGAAAAGAAAATGAAACTCTTTACTTTTGAAAGAAAGTTCACTTAGCTTCACTTCGTCTCTTTCTCACTTGTTGTCACCACGTTGATTTGTTGAATACGTTACAGTTACATACGATTTGTATTGCTGTTCCTCTTTTATTTTTCGTTCATTTTTCCCTCTTTGTGGTGTTATATTTTGTTGGTGTGTATTTTTTTTTCTTGTTATTGTTCTGATGGGTTGTTTTTCTATTAATTTTTTTTGGTTGGGGAAAAGGGGGGGGGGGGGTTGTATAGTGTAACGTCATTTAATTTGATGTTCCTACAAAAGGTATTGTGTAACGTCATTTAATTTGATGTTCCTACCTTCATTAGATTCTAAATATATATACCTGTATAGATTTAAATGTGCTATGTTAGAGCGTTCCACCAAAACCAAGTACATGTACTGACACTGGCAGGCCCCCTGTGTGTGGTTCCATAATTTCCATGCAATATCCTGTACTTTTTTTAACAAATTAGGCACATTTAGGGTTAAAACGGTCAATCTTCTTCGGACAGGTGGACACACGCCCTTATTTGTTAATTGTTGTGGTTGTTTCTGGGCTGTTCTAGTTTTGATTTCATTCTGTTGTGAAACCTTTCTTTTTCACGTTTTTACACTCATGCTAAAAATCTCTAGACTAGATCTAGCTCTTGAAAATTGAAATAGATCTAAACCCAAAAATTTGCTCCGTTTTTTTTTTTAATGGACGATAACCGTCCACTCAATAGAAAAGAGGGTCAGATTTCTCCGTCTCTCGGGTGCCTCAGGCAGTACCCGCCTCGCTAAACTAGTGGGCACACGGCCGGAGGAGAAGCTGAGAACAGATACCACCTTTGATTTGCTCCTTCCCAGACCTCGCAGAATGACGGAATGAAAGTTGGCGCCGAACTCTCGCAAATAGGCAAACAATCACGACCAGAGCGGAAGCCGGAAACCGTTCGGAGAAATAAAGATCGGCACTATTTCTCCGAACGTTCGGAGAAATAGTCACTTCGTATTATGAGTTGTGTAAAAAAAGAAGTCGGATTCGTTCAAATACACAAGCCTGTGTCATCTCGATTGTTTACCAAGAAAAAGTTGTGTTGCTGTGTAGAGCTGAGCATACGGCAACTTTTGATTCCATAGACCAGCGCACAATTCATTACGTAGATCTACGTCAAGATTAACTTATTATTGTAATAATGATCAGTTGCCAGGGGGAAAAAGACTGACGCGTGTATGCGACATTCAACGCCCGGACCGATAGTGCCCCCCCCCCCTGACACCCACACAGCCACACGTGTGCAGGCCGCCCATCCGACCCCGACACACGCTAACGAGCCATCTTTAATTGCTTCTGATGATCTCTTGACAAATAAACATTTATTACAAGCGCTATAACTTTTCAGGCCGGCCTCAAATTCATCATAAGATAACAACTCGGCTCCTGCACAAAGCGCCTTTTTGCCCGAAGTTATCCCGGTCTCTACCCAGCCTGAGGCGAGTCACGAGTGAGGCAGGACAGGAATCCGGAGTCACGAGTCACAGGAAGTCGGAAGTGATGTCATGCTGGACAAGAATCAGAGTCCGAATAACATTTTTTCATATATTCGGACTCGAGTCCGAATAATCACTTCGTTTTTTTTTTATTGTAGAGTGTTTTACGGCGCTCGCAACTGCATTATAATAAGGTCATATATGAGCGTAAAGGGGTGGGTGTCAACAGAGAAGTCTTTACAGGGAATCAGACTTATTCTGCTCACCTCTCTAGCTTCAACAGCACAAGGTCTGCTTCGACTGATCTGGTCCTGAAAGATCTACACCTAGCCTTCTCGGACAAGGGCGAAAAATCTCGGAGGGCTTGTGTGCAAGTTGCGCACGTTAATGTTAAAGCATCCCTTGGTGGTCTAAAATCGATAAGAGTAGGCTTCAGCCGCCACCCGGGCAAAATTCAAAATTTCCTACCAACTGAAAATATTAGTTGAGTCCGGTGCGCTCACAGATCTTTGACCTTACACAGTTGCGTAAAAGTAAAACACTTACCCAAATTTTTTTAAAAGACAGTATTCAGAAATTAGGGAAGGATTCGGAAAACGGGTCTTGTTTCACACATTGTAAGTTAATGTAGATCTAAGTGAGAATAGACAACGCTGGCAAGTCTCACCCGGGGTGAAAGTGAGAGGTCGATCGTATTTATTCTCACTAATCTCACCCTTAGCCTTAGGAGCAAACAGTGAATAAACCAGTTTAATCAGTTTTGGGTGTGGAAAGCCCCTCCCTACTTTTAAGAATAAAATAATAGCCTTCTAAACTTTCAACTTTGACGACAATCTTCTATTCCGTCACGAGTGGCTGCTGCTCAGGTCCACTCTGGAGGCTAGATCGTGTAGATCTAGACTGTAGACTAGAGCCAGAGATCAAGATCTAAATTCTAGAAGTATTTAAAGTTTCCAAAGGAAACAAAAGCAAACGTATACAAGCTTTCAAAACAGTTACATAGTTAAAAACCAATAGTTTTTTTGTCCTTTTGCCACTTACGTTCGACAAAATACAATGTTTACTTCTCTTCTTCTACAACAATCTCACTCAACTCGTTCATAATCAAGACAGGGAGCCACATCTATGATCTGATTGGTTGATATCGACGGAAGTAGTTTTTGATTTAATCCAAAACATGAACTTTTGAAAACACATTCCAAAGCTTCCGGTTTCGTTTTTAAGTTTCAAGTTACCATCTTGTTATTATTTAATTTATTTTTAATCTATTGAGAACAGTATGGTTGCGATACAACACATTAAAACATCTGTTGTCTTTGTCTCCCTCTTTTGCTCAAATCATACTGAAGAGACATTTAAGTTTGCAGTTGATCTCCAGAATCAGTCGTTTTAGTTGGGTAAAGTGTATCCGAAAGTGTAAAAAAGACACCTTATATATTATATATATAATCCGTGTTTCGTGTGTAATCGTGTAACGAGTTACAGCACACAAAGTTTGGTGTGTGTGTGTGTGTGTAGGCCTATAACACACATTCATACAATTTGTAGCCTACTTAGATATTACGTGCTCATTGACTCATCGTTGGTGGGGTGAGTAACACAATACCTTGACTTCTATGACAAATGCTACTACTGTCATGACTTGTTATTCGATCCACCAGAAATTTTGCAGTTAGGCCTAGATAGATCTAGAATCTAGATCTAGATCTAGTCTCCAACCTCCAAGCAGAATGAACGAGATTACTGATCTGATCAATCATTGAACCAGAACGGAGATTCACACTCCTTTTTTGTTTAGTTTTAGGCCTATAGCCTAGTTTTTGGAGAAAGAAAATAATTCTGTGCCTGTGTACACCCATACTAAGGGTTAGTTCTGCTATTTGAACTTACGAGAATTAAGTGTTGTTGTTGTTGATCCTGACTCAGCAGTTGTTGCCTTAAAATAAATTTGGCCTTTGTGGACTGGTCATTTTGTTTTATTTATGGTGTCGGAATCCTGAACATTTCATGTAAACAGTAGGTAAGCCTACACAGCAAACATGGTTTTCTCACAATATATTATTAAAATTATCATTATGATGGTTGAGTCAAGATAAGAAGTGCCAAGAGCTAACATTAACAAAGCTAGTGCACATTGGTTATTATAGTAGGGCCTCTATACAATAAAATAGAATGACATGATACTTGATAGACTTTACAAATTGATCTTGCTTGTTGCCGAGTCAAATCAACACAGGGGATTTCATCATATGTCCATTCTCTGTTGTCTAGTCTCTGAACGATATAATATGAACAGCTGTGTTTACATTTTGTCATTGATTGAGCATCCTCTATTTTAAAGAGTTTCAAATCAAAAGTAGAGTCAAGCAGGGATTTATCCTAGCTCCCACCCTGTTATTACTCCCTTCTGACTTCTGCTGTAACATGCATTGTAATTGTAGAACATTATAAGGAATAGGAGGGATGTTTGTCACATCACATTCTGATTGAGGACTACAATGCTAAATATAAGACTGCAGCGGCTAAAGGCAAAGATCTGGCATTCTCATTGGTCAAGAGAGACTGAAAAAACTGATGACACCTTTCCAGCAAAGGTTTTGTCTGACATTCAATGTGGGGGAGGGGGGGGGGGGGTTGGAGAAAGTGGAGATGAAGGCAGATGGCAGAACACTTTTTTCTTCAACGTAGGTGGGTTTTTTTTACAATACCCAAAGAAAAAAAATTTGGAGGCAACCTTCCAACCCTACCTGTTGGGGCCAACCTGGGCTGAGAGGGATAGAACATTCCGGCAGAAAGACTGAGATACTCGATAACAATTTATCTCCACTCAGGAATTTCTCTCCACTCAGGTCTCTTGCGTGCAATAGCGGAGTGCCTATCTGCTATGCCACAGGCGCTGGTTGAAAAGTTGTGAAGTCATAGATCGCGCCATAGAGAATAGAAGCAACACTGTCCTCCCAGGCCAATGGGGCTCTTTTTACACCCTGAGCAAAATAAAAAAAACAAGTTTTTAAGCTCATATAGGAAGTTTGCGATTTATTTAGCTTGTAAGTGAATTAATGTATTCAAGAAAAAACAGTTAAGTAAATAATAGAATATAATATATTGAACAAGTCTAACCTTGTTTTTCATAAAGAGATGATGCTCACAGGACATTCATGATAACTTTAAAAAGTTTAAAAATCAAGGCAGCTGGTCCAGACCTTATACCACCAGAAGCCCTTAAGGCAGATAAAGATCTATCATCAGTGGAAATTCTCTATGCTCTATTTGAAAAGGTTTGGCAAGAGGAGGAAATACCATCAGACTAGAAGGAAGGCCACCTAATCAAGCTGCCAATGAAGGGAGACGCCAGCAATTGTAACAATTACAGAGGCATCACACTGATGTCCATACCTGGGAAAGTCTTTAACAGGATACTCCTGGAGAGATTCAAGCTGGCAACAGATGAGAAGCTGCGAAGAAACCAGGCAGGATTCCGTAAGAACTGATCATGTGTGGACCAGATCACTACACTGTGCATCATTGTTGAGCCATCGCTTGGATGGAATTCACCACTTGCGGTCAACTTCATTGATTATGAAAAGGCATTTGACAGCGTGGACTGGGAAACTCTGTGGAAACTCATGCGGCATTATGGAATACCTGACAAAATCGTTAAGCTTGTGAAGGCCACCTATGATGGAACAAACTGCTAAGTCTTCCATGAAGGACTACTCTCAGACAGGAGTGCGACAAGGATGCTTGCTCTCACCTTTTCTCTTCATACTGGCAATTGAGTGGGTCATGAAAGAAGCCACCAGAGGCATACTCAATGGAATTCTGTGGACCCCTTGGCGGCAGCCGGACAACTTGGGACTTCACCGATGACTTTGCTCTGCTCTCTCACACACATGTTCAGATGCAAGAAAAGACCAAAGAGCTCAACAGCCTATCAAGGAGTGTTGGCCTACATATACATCCGGGCATGTAGAAAGTAGTGAAGCTAGGAAAAGTTTCAAGCCCTGTTGTGACAGTGGAAGACACTCCCCTGGAAGAAGTGAACTCTTTTACCTACCTTGGAAGTGTCATCGATGGTAAAGGTAGAACTGAGACAGATCTGAAAGCAAGAACCGCCAAGGCAAGGTCAGCTTTCAATCAATCATCAAAAGTCTTGAAAGGAAGCAACATCTTACTGCGCACCAAAATTCGACTCTTTAACTCCAATGTCAAGTCTGTGCTCCTCTACGGCTGCAAAACTTGGAAGACAACAAAGACAGTATTGAATAAAGTCCAGACTTTCATCAACAGAGGTATGACGAGTATCGTAAGAATTAAGTAGCAGGATAGAAAAAGAAATGAAGAGCTTTGGGAAAGGACAGGACAAAAAGATATAGAAGTAGAAATAGGACTAAGAAAGTGGGGATGGATGGGACTCACCCTCAGAAAGCCCAGAAGAAACATTACAAGACAGTCACTGCAGTGGAACCCACAGGGAGCATGAGGCAGGGGTAGGCCACGGGAAACATGGAGGAGATATGTGGAAAGGGACATGAGAGAGATGAAGCTCACTTGGAACGAGCTTGGAAGGATGGCCCAGGACAGAGGTGAATGGAAGGAGCTTGTATGTGGCCTATACCCAGCCAGGGGTGAAAGGCATTGATGATGATGAAAAAAAAATGCTCTTTAAAATATTTATAAATATACCAAATTCTCATTTCAGATTCCATTTTCTTCACACGGCCCAGCAATGTATTGTGGTATGGCAGATGAACCAACTGCTCAGATTTATCCTGAAACCAAAAAGCGGAGGATTGGACTGTCCAACGAAACGTATGAATACAAACCAAACCCAGAATGTATGGTGTGTAAAGGCAGCAAGTTTATGGGTAAGTTTTGGTTTTCAAGACAACATGATGTCAGTGTTAACTTTAAGTTTGATGGCTCAAGTATGTTGTATGGTATGGCAAGCCTATAGATCTCTATATAAATTTCCTTATAAATACAGTGCAGTTATTTAAGAGACGGGGCAGATGAATTTAGTGACAACCTCTGATAGGACTGAGCGAAAGGTATGGAGAGCCTTAAATACTCCTCTTACAGCCCAAGTTCAAGAATGTCTTGTTTTGGATTTGAGCCAGGTTAATCTGCACTGTAGTCTAGCATGATATCACCTGTATCACCTGACCTGTCATTGCATCCCAGAGCTATGGGAGATAAATTTTAACCTGTATAAAGTTTTATGTTTTTGACAGCATAACAAACTTTATTTAATTGGCATTTCCTAATTTAACTCTGTAGGACCAACAGGTAATGTTTGACTTGATGGAAGTGGTGATAAAGCATGAGTGTGCTCTGTTTATTTTGTTTGCTTACATACCAAATTAATCTTCATATTTTACCATTTCCATACAGTTTTAACTTTTTTGTTTTTGTTTTCATAAATGACTTTCCAGCATATAGTTCATCAAGATGGCAAAGTTTTAGTTGGATAGATAAAGAATAGAAGAGTGCTTTGTCTTTACTGAGTTGTGTCCCATGAAGTCACAGTCTTTAATTTATGTTCCTGTTGTCCTACAGGACACAATTTTGTGCATTTCCGCAAAGTGGACAACGAGAGAGTGTATCAGACAGAGGACTGGGAGCCATCAGGGTCTGCTTTGTTTTACCCATTGACGGAAGATGTGATGGTCAACTCCAGGAACATTGAGCAGTTCAGTTGCTCGAGTGGAAATTTCTTTGTAGCTGGGCAAGACGGTCTTTATTCAAGAACTTTATCAGGTTGGGTCTTGCTGTGTTTAAAAAATTCTTTAAAAAATTATATTGAATGTCCTGCAATCATCATCTCTTAATGAAAATCAAGGTTACAGTTGTTTACATATTCTATTATTTACTGAATTAGTTTTCAAGAATGCATTAATTCACTTACACATGAGCACAATAAATCACAAACTTCCTACGATGAGCTCTAGAAAAACCTTTTAGTCATTTTGCTCAGGGCGTCAAAAGAGCCATTTCAGTCTAAATGATTGAACAGATTCAATGGTAAAGTAATTTTGTCATGTGCCTCTTTTGTTATCCATGTTTACTTTCTGAAGAAGTTTAAGTTTACCAGGTTCATTTTAATGATTCAGCTGATTAAAAAAAAAAAAAATAATGCAGTGACTAATGATCTTATCATTACTGAGTATTTAATGCTTAATAAAAAATACCTTTGTACCCTGTGGGGAGTCGGTAATGGCAAAATGTGGGAGGATGGAGCTAAACTATCTTAAAGATGTTGATGGTGTTACAGAGAGAATTTTTTTACAGCATTTATGTAGCAGAGAAGTGAAATTTGAACAGTTTGTCTATTACTTTGTTAATTTTTCTTAAGTCTCTTTGTGTTTGTAACATTGGGTTATAACGTTAAGTCATTTTTCCCTGTATTCTGATAGCAAGGGAGTTCAAAGATTTTATTTTTTGTTTGTCCCCAGGAAAAGTTCTCCACTTGTGGAGGTTCTGCACAGAGAAGAAGAAGTTGTACATATCCAGGTCGTTTTTGTTCAGGAATGCTCAGGTTTGGTGTTTGCTACAATATTTTCTCTCACTGTCATAATCTACTTGGTCGTTACATTTTAAAACATTCATTATTTCAGTATTCTCATCTCAGTATCTCAAAATACCCGTACTTGGGAGGCAAACAAAGAGTGCAAAATATTGCTGCCAAAATAATTACTAAGAAACTAAAGTATTATCACGTGACTCCTATTTTTAAAAAACTACACTGGCTCCCAGTGAAAGAGCGTATCATAATATATAAAATCTGTTTAACTTGCTACAAGTGCTTACATCATCTATCACCTGACTACCTTATGATAGCTTTTACAGTCTTTTTGTGGTTAACCCTTCAACATACCCCAAAAATGCCAGGCTGCATGGTTGTTGGGTGAAAAATAGTTATAGAGTTTGCAAAAGCTGTTATTGTTTATTTACTTTACCTTTGCACATAATATACTCTCTCTGGGGCATTGACCGGAAGTACTTCCACCGAAGTTTTTGTCCCAAAGTGAAGACAGGCCCATCTTGTGAAGATTTTTTTTAACATACACAACAGTTTTTGTTTCTCCTATTTTATTCTTATGTCAAGATCAATTTTCTTTGGGTCCTCACTAGGTGAACTACATTATCTTTAAGACAAAGTGACAACTTCAGTGACAGTGATTTTTTTTTTTTAATTGTCATAATAATTTAAATTCTTGTGGTGTACAAAGTGATCATCATAAATAATTTGATTGATGTATCAATTACTGAAGCGTATGTGATGATAATATCACTTTGGCTCTGCAACCTTCTTTCATGCCATGGGCTTAAAACAAGGATTACGAGATACCCTATGAGATGGCACACTTAAAAAACATTTTTTGGGTGATACTAAAAAATAGTCCTCAGAAATGCTATTGAAGCTAGAGAGGTGAGCAGAGTAAGTCCGATTCCTTATGAGGACTTCTTTGTTGACATCCACCCACTCATATGACCTTATGCAGTTGCGAGCGCCGTAAAACCTCTACTAAAACTAGAAATGCTTGTGTCGACATCTTTCTTATGTGGTCCTAGTTTTTGGGACTGATATTCTTTGTATACAAAGAGCAGGAGTTTTAAATGTTCTTAAATAACACCTATTTCAGAAAGTATAGAATGTGCATTTATCATGGCCAGTGGAGACATAGAATCTATAAAAATGGGCTGGCATTTGTGAGGACATATTTATTTAGGGTGAATCGTTTCGTAGTGTACTATCTTTGACACAACTCGGAGTCTTCCTTCCCCAGCAGTGAAAGTTTCTTCTTTCTCCGTCCTTGATTCTCCTCTCTCTTTACCTCATTGTTTGATCATCTTGATCGTCCAGTCTTCCTTGTTAATTATTAACATTTTGCCTGCCCTTTTTATCATCCTCAGGACTTTTGGGAAGTTCAGCAAATGCTTGAAAGACTTTGAGACAGATCGAGAACCCTGAGCAACTAATGCTTGGTTATTGTTACTGATAACTGATCTGCCAAAAATTGTTACATTCCTCTCCACTGGTAAAGTTATGGAATCATAATGAACTATTTGAATGGTGAGATGTTTTGTTGAACAACGTTAAGATCAATGTTTGTTTCCAGCATTTATTTGTGTTCTTTCAAAGTTGTAATTCAAATTTTTAGTTGCCGTTTTAATCATTGTGAGATTTCTTTTTAAAAGATACAAGTCACCCAATGTTGTCATTTCTCAGGTTTGATAACCTTTGAAAAGTGTAACGTTTGATATCTTATCATTTTATGTGCGTTTGTTACATTGCTGTATCAGGGATGTTTAGATGTTTTTGTTTCTGTGAAAAAGAAGCAGAAGTAACCAAATAGCTTTAACTTTTCCTCTCCTTAAAGTGCAGACTGCCACCGGTGTGTGTTGACTGCAAGAGGAGGCGTCTGTTGTCACTTTGAGTTTCTCTATTATCTACCAATTTCTTTAGATTCACAACCCATTAATGAATGTATGATGTGGATGAATCAAGTCCTTCAGAAAACAGATCTCATCTCGGATTTATCTTTCTATTTTCTTAACTTTATGCAGTCAAAATTGTCTAAGGTGGTCTTCCATTGTTACAGAGAAATATGTTTGTCTTAGACAAATAGACGTCTTGGCCAGTGTCATTATCATATATAGAATAAATACAAGGCGGGGGAGGGGGAGTAGGAAGTGATCAGTTGTACAGGTCATTGTCTTAGACAGGTGGCCATCAGAGCAGGTTCGACCATACTTAATAATTTCTTTTTTCTTATGAAAGTCTCGAAAATTGACTTACCTTTGGTGGTTTAAATCGCGAGAAGGACGGTTTTGTTTTTGGGTTGTCTGGGGAGTCTTCATTCAAGGCTCTCCACTTATTTGGCTCTGTCTTGTCAGTGTTTTGGGTTTGAATCATTTCACATTGTTGACAGTGTTTTATACCTATACCATGCCCATATCTGCCAAGATCTCCGATTTTTATTTTTCCCATCAAAGAACCGCGATCAGATTTGCATAAAGTCCATTTTTTTCTTGATTTCCATTTTTGTCTGATCATTTGCAACTTATTGTAAATGATGTGAAAATATACATTTTTATTTGCATTTAGCCTTATTATGTGAATGTGCATGTATTTGCCATGGTCAGTTTGCTGCGTAATCTTAATTGGGAGAATTTTGAGGAAAACTCCTATTTTTGATCATGGAGTGGTTGGCAGGTCAGCAGTCCTTTCACTTGTGGAGGCTATTTCTGGGTTCTTGTCTCTCGAATCGTTTCAGTGTTGACAAAAGTGTTATACCCATGCCCATACCGTACAAGCACTGACAAAGAATTAAATCATGTGTTGAGAGACTGGCAGTTTATTTTTCAACGGACAATAATGTGCAATGCCATCTATGATTTACTTCTCTTGGTGACGGAGTTCTTTAATAATCAGATGCAACGAAACATGTCATTCTGAAGAGAGAGAATGAATACTCCTTTGTATGGTGGAAAATAGTACAGCCAGATCCTATTTTTTTAGTCTTCTGTAAAGAGGAAAAAGATATTTTTTTTCAAGGATAGAGTTTATATTTTGAATGTTTTATTCATTTTCATTTTACATTCATACATAATGTGCTTCATTTGGCCCAGTTGTACGTGGCTGCAGCAGAGATAATATTGTCAGGCTTTTCAGGAAAAAAACACCCAGAAAAACAGCTTTGTAAATTGATATTCATATTTTTTAACCCTGGTAAGCTCTTGCTTTGTGCTTATCCATAGCTCAATTGGAATCAGACTGGGTTATGATGCAGATGGCCCTATTTCGTGTCCCTGGTGGTAGAGCTTTTTTGAACTTACGTTGTTTTTGGTTTTCAAGGCTCACCTACTTGACTCAGACCTATCGGAGATGTGAAGTAAATCTGGAGGTATCACCGCTTAAGTACACTCACGGCAATTATAGGGGCTTCATAACGTTATATCGTACTGTCCCTAGTTTTTTACTATTTGATCACCGAATAGCGGTCTCTCTTGTACTGAAGCCTCCAACTAACACGTATTATTTCATCAATATGTCATGTACTGTATGTCTCTTCGCTGTGCCCCTATATTGTTTGATTTTAAAACTGGCGCTAAAAGAAATTAATGTTTTATTTTGCACACATGTAATTATACGTATTCATTAGCATCACATACATCTGTTATGTATTTTTTATTATAACATATACTTTTGCATACTTCTTCACCCCCTCCCCCCAATTATACACACACACACACACACACACACACACACATACACACATACATACACACACACACACACACACACACATACACACACACACACACACACACACACATACACACACACATACACACACACATACACACACACACACACACACACACACACACAAACAGTTTCTCTTTTTGTCCTTATTCCAAAGGTTGCTCTTTTTATCCTTTTCCGCCTTGTGTCTTTCAAAAGAGACCAAAAACTCCCATCGACGTTCTTGTTTTTATGGAACAAAATATTGAGCCTGTGCTGTCTGCTCAGTGACTCTGTGTTTTTCTGTCATCCAGTCGAGAGAGGTTTTTTTACTATTTTACGGATTATTCCTGATTTTTTTTTACAAAATGCATTTTGTCGGCAAGCTGTTCAACTTTTCTAAGCACAGAAAGCAAAATTTTTCAGGAGAGAGAAAAAAAAATGTTTCATTCTCTTAACAATTTTACCTACATTATGTATCTGTCCTTGCTTTGTACAACATTTAGTCTACAATTTGAATATAAGAAAACAAATGTCTCGAGCACCTGCAACTGATACCACAAATTAACCCTATCCGTACGTTGTCTTTTACTATCGTATCCATACGACGTGGGGAACTCTGTGCCATCACTTTCCAAAGAGGAAATTTACTCATCAATCCAATCCTTACGCTTTGCATAGTAGTAGTCTGTCAAAATGAATTTTTGAGAAATACTGAAAGTTTCAAAGAGATCTTTGCACAGAAGTATTCTAAAATGTGAAGAATACAACCCCGGGGGTACAAAATAACCCCAGGGCGTACGGATAGGGTTAATAAACTGCAATTTTTTAAATTCACAATTTTGGGCTTAGTGCATTTGAACAGCTGGCCGAGATTTGGTGCCTTGTGCTCACTTTTTCTCTATCTCCACATTGTGTTGATGATCCACGTCTAGAAAGATCTATTGTCATGTGGGTGGTTGGCGGGTGCTATGGGGATGTGGTTTGCTTCTGCTTTCTCATCACACATCTATCATCCTTGTCTCTCTACCTTCTTTTTTTTGTGTTTGTTACTCTCTTGTAACACCTCGAATCTCCTGCGCTTATATGACCTTACTATGTTACAAGTGCTGTAAAACTCTTACCAAATAAAAAAGTCCGTTGTCATTGTAGCTTTGCTGGTTGTGAACTTGGTTGTTATGCCGCTAAAGATTTAGTTTCAAGCCTGACTTGCGTCAGAATTTTTGTTGTTTTTTTCTTTCTAGGAAAGCTCCCTCTATGGACCTCGTTCTCACCTTCCTCATGATGTGATGCTGTCGTTCAATATTAAAATTTTACTTTTTTTTTCTTTCTAATTTTGCTTCAAGTCCTTTTGGCTTCCAGTTGAATTGCAGTATTATTGTATGTGAACATTTTATCAAGGGTAGTTTTATAAGTCGGTTTCAGCGCTAAACTGTCCTCTTTCGTGTTTCCCAAATGCAGATAATGTACGCAAGTGGAGAATAAGAAATTTGACCGTCGACTTGAGAAATTCAGCAATCACAATATATTCTTTCTTTTTTTTCCAATTTTATTTTATGATTAGCTATCTGTAAAGTTGCTTGCTCAGACATATGTAGTACGCTTAGGAAAATTTACTGTTTTGATTTTTTATGACTTAGTTTAAAATAGTATTGTTTTTTTTTTCTAGGCTTCCTGTTTGGATTCCTTTATCATGTCGAAAGTCTAACATTCTAAAATGGATTATTGTACTGTTACGGAATACACATTTCATTGTTTGTTTATTCTGTTGTTTGTATAGTGTTACATCTCATGAGTATTAGAATAGTCGCATAATGTGTTTACCCATAATAATTAATAATGCATTTGAGTTTTTGACATTCTTTATTCTTTTAAGAAATTGAATGTGATCACATTTATGTTTTATCTATTTAATTAATCATAATATTTTTTGGGTTTGGGCGTTATAATATCTTCTGTTAGTGAGCTTTAATTTGAGATGTTATGTGAACCAGAAATGTTTCCCAGAATGGGATGGGTCATTCATTTGCAATATCTACATACTCGACCCCCCTCCACCCCCCCCCCCCACCCCCCCGGGGCTTACCAGAAAATTCTGAGTTCTGAGATCGAGGTTGTGAAGGAAAAAACATAAGGGATCTTTTTCCTAGACCGCACTTGTACCTTCTAGTTCAGTTTTTGGTTTTGCTGTGTTGCAATTTTTATCCCTTTTGTTACATGGTCCTCCCCTGTCTCGATCTGTTTTTCCTTTTGTCTCAGGTTTTGTGGCTTCAGCTGGGACAGGCATCATATGTTGGTGGTTGTTTTGTTTTGTTTATACTGTTATTATGAATATGTGAGGCAGCGTGGTGGAATCAGGCTCTTGTCAAAATACTCAAAGTGAAGAAACTAGCATTTTTCTGCAGGTTTGTGAATTTTTATCAAATTTTTGTTTTTCGGTTCAACACCTTTCATGCTCATTAAAGAACTCATTTCTGTGTGGCTTTTTCTGAAAAACGTTGATTAAAGGTACAAAAAAATGTAAATTTTCAGCTACCACGGACTCTTAAGCTAAGGAAATAATGAATATTTGGCAGCCATTTTCTCACTAATTAAGTATTTTTTGTCTCTGAAACAGGTGACCCCCCCCCACCTCCTTCATTTGCAAATATCTCGACTCGTGTTCAAGATAAATGGATATTTTTTCCATCCAAATAAAGACAAGTAAACAAGCTTTACGATTACACCAATAACTCTACATGCACAAAAATTGACGAGAGCCTGATTCCACCACGCTGCCTCACATATATATCAGTATGGTGCTGATGGAGATGTGCTGTATGTGCGTACATATGAAGGGCTTTATATCAAAATAGGTTATCAGTTGTCTCCAATACTTGTAGTAGCTGGTTGGAGGGAGACAAACTCATCCAAGTTTGTACACAAGTGGGGGGTTGAGGAACTTTTTGGTGGGGTTTGCTTTCTGTTTCCCATGGTGTATCTCTAAAAGCTGTGTCTTTATCTCTCCTCCTCGTTTCCTTTGTATATTACTCTCTAGTAACTACTCTAACGTTTGCTACTTGGGACCAGTTTGTGTTGCAAGTGCCATTAAACTCTCACTAGAACTTTTTTTAAAACTCAAAAATTTATACAGCTGCAGGGTACTGATCGTGAATTTTTAAAGATCAGCCTTTTTTTTACCTACAGGGATATAATTTATCGTATTCTGTCTCCAAGCCCTTCATATAGATTTCTGCATATGTTATATACATATATAATATACAGCATTTACTCCGAATTTATTTCAACTTTCAGCCGATTTTTTGCCTCTATAAAAATATGATTATTAAATACTATTCATTTAAATTTTGTAATAAAATTTTAATCAATACAAATGCTGTATTTGTTATGCTTTGTTTACGCAGTTGCACATGAGATGTGAATGCACGATTTTGATACTGCTGCAGTTAGCACGATGTAAAACAGAGGCATACTCAACGTTTGAGTTCGGTGTGCAAGTTGTGCTCGTCAAAGATCCCTTTATGGTCCAAAAATCGATAAGAGTAGGCTTCGGCAACCACTCGGGCAAAACTCAAAATTTCCTACCAACTGGAAATGTTTAATGTGTCCTGCCCGCTCATATGACTTTATGCAGTTTGAGCGCTGTAAAACACTTACCAAAACAAACAAAAAAAAGGAAAAAAAAGAAATTCTGAGTTCGTTGTTAGCTCACTTGATGTCATTTTGGGTTATGGTGCAGATGTCCTTGGTTTGAGTCCCCAACTCTTCCGTTTTTGAACCTTGGTTGTTTAGAGAAAACAATGACATACACAAAGTTTATGAAAAGGCTTTGAAGTCATTTGTTCAGACTATCTTTATTGATTCTAACAATGCAGGGGTGGCCAAAGAAAACGGGAACAGGTAGAAAGAATAAGAACTCGGGTAGAACTCAGCAGAGAGAGAGAGAGAGAAAGAGAGAGCTCTGAAATAACTCAGCAGAGACAGAGAGAGAGAGAAAGAGAGAGCTCCGAAATGACTCAGCAGAGACACAGAGAGAGAGAGAGAGAGAGCTCTGAAATAACTCAGCAGATACACACACATAGAGAGAGAGAAAGAGAGAGCTCTGAAATAACTCAGCAGAGACACACACACACAGAGAAAGAGAGAGAGAGAGCTCTGAAATAACTCAGAGAGAGAGAGAGAGATGCGAAGAACTTGTAGAACTCAGGAGAGAGAGAGGAGAGGGAGCGAAGGTCAACTTCGGCGGAGCGCGGCAGGGATTGATAATAGAGAGTAAAATGGCGACCTGTCGTAGTGTTATTAACTACGAGCGTACATGCACACGTATTATGTGGAGCTCCTCCCATCGACAGTGATGTACAATGTAGTGTGTAAAGCGGTGAAGCTATCTCTACGTACAGCTGTGCTTTGTTGACTCGTCGCCATAG